TTGGACGAATTCAAAATGAGCGGCGTCATAGGGTAATGAATGTTAAATAGCCGGTATTTTAATTCCAAAAAAAAAGAATTTAAATTTTTAGTACTTAAAATTTTATATTAACAGTATTAAAAGAAAAATTTCACTAATAACGTTAACTTAATGTTACAATTGAAATAGTTATCAAAATTAAATACATTTTATGAGTACACGATAGATAAATCACAATTTAAATAATAAAAATAATCATCCTGAAAGTACAAAGAATATAGCTTTAAAATGCTGGATATTTTTTTAATTAAAAATTAATCTCTATAAGGATAACTGATATTTAACAGATTCAGCATTATTCTATATACAATAAAAAAAAAAAAATGCTGCAACTTACCCATTTTAATTAATACTACATGGGTTTGTTTATGTGCCTCTTTGACTTCTTCAAGAGCCTAAAAATATGATAAAAATATACAACTAAAATGTATTTTACAAAGCAGGAAATTAAAAAGATTTCAAAAACTACAGGAAGCTTTTTTAAAACGTGCTGATACTACAATAATAGTAGTAAATCCAAATCAAAAACAATGATACTCATATTTTTATTGGTTTGAACCTATGGATATTATTCCATTGGAGGTGCCAGTCAATTGGCGACGAATTGGCGACCAATTGGCAGCGGACACATAAAAAAAAGAAAAATACTTTAAAAAAATATTCCTGCATATATATTTTAAGCCTATAAAGGTTTTCTTTAATTGAAAATGAACTATTCCACTCAAAATTTTCTGATTAAAAATAAGTTCGGGGATTTTTCCATTATAAGCCACGGCTAATTGGCGACCGCCAAGAAAGCCGATGGGTCATTTGCTAAACGTTACTAGGATGTTCCGATGCTTTGTTTTTCTAATTTTTTGGCTAATTTTGTTACCATCTACTTTTCAAGTAAGTATTAATTAGTACATTAGCCACTATTTAATTTATATTAGTTAACTAATGAATTAATTAGCATTAATCTATAATTGTTAATTACATATTCTTGAAGCTATATTGTGTATTTATTAGTGTAGATTTGTTCTTCATTTTATTTGAACTTTTATACACATTATGATATCAGTAAGATCCGTTTCTCGCCAAAAATACGATTTAGTAACAAGAGAAAAAATGACCCATCGACTGTCTTGCTGTCGCCAATGGCTGGCACCTCCAACGAAAGAATCCCCGCCCTATTTTAATCAAGAAATTTTGAAATGGAGTAGATATTATTATCCATTATATATTATATTATAGATATAATACTGTGCCCAAAATGTAAGAACAATTATTTTTTTTCAAAAACTCTTTATTTATTCTTCCAAATTTATTTCCTCGCTTCAAAGTAATCCCTTTCGGACACAATGCACTTATGGCAACTTTTTATCCAATCCTCAAAGCATGCTCAAAAAGTCATCGGCCGGGATGGACGTTGAATTTCTTCAATCGACTCAAGTGTCCCAGGAGTGGCCTTTGAGTTTAGGGAATAGTGGAAGTCACACAGTGTGAAATACAGGGGCTGTGGAACGACATGGGTTTCATTTTTGGCGAAAATATCACGAAGAATCAATGCAGTGTGTGAGCTGGCGCATTCGGTGTTTTCGATACCTATCGAGATTTGACGCGTTTGAGGTTCAAAATGGAATTGACCGATCCTTTGAAATCCAAACATCATCAGTCAAGGTCTCTATTTATCAATCCATTGGTTTGTAAGCACCAAATCTTTAATTTTAGACATGAGCTTTGTCGGTTACGGTGGATGGTCGACCAGAGGGCTCTTCGTCTTCAGACCGTTCTCTGCCTTATTTGAACTGTTTATACTACTTGTAAACATTTCTTTCCGATTTAGGAATGCTCACCGAATGCCTTCCTGTAACATTCTATACGTTTCAAACAAAAAATTTAATGCAAGGTCTTTGCTCCGTTTATTCCGGCATGTCAAAAATCTCCGGAATCAATTTTAGCGTCTCACAAAGCCAAGCGTAAACACTAATGAATATTTTGAGTGAAATTTCACACAGATGTCAAGGACAGTGCCAGCAACCCAAAAGAAAAAAATGAAATTCCATAAGGCCCGGGAATTTTAAATTGAAAATTTGTCTTACTTTGGCATAGTATATATGTATATATATTTATTTGTGGAATATTTCCGAGGATACATTAAGTAGAAAATAGCGAAAATTAAGTACTAAGTTTTAAAACTATTGAAGGTTAATTGCAGATTTTAAAAATATTTTTCTTCTAAATTATTATTATTATTTATTATTTTTATATTCCTAGTCCGAATTTGAAAAAAATACTTTTTTTTATTCATTTACTACTATTAGTTATAATAATATAATTTATTTATATGTAGCCTGTATAAGTGATTTTCGTTGGATCCCATTTATAGAGCAGGATTTTATGTGTGTAGGCTTAATATTTTATCTTGTAAATTGCCCATTTGTCATTTTTTATAGAAGAAAACATTTTTTACCTTATGAATCATTATATTATTATATACGAATAATAATTGTATATGCCTTTTTAAATTAGCTTTAAAAATCCAAAATGTTTACATATTTGCCTTGGAATTTTGAAAACTATTTCTTTTGTTTCCACTATTTTTTAGTTAAGTGTGAAAGCTCTTAACAAGTAATATAAAAATAAATTTTTTTTTAAGTCAATTCCTACTTTTTTCACTATGCAGAAAAGTCCTTTATAAATAATTTTTCATTAATTTTTAAGTTTATCTGGCTTGCATCTGATTGGTAGATATATGCTACTTAAATCTAAAAAAACTAAAATTAATTAATACTCAAATTTAATTACTGAATTAATATTTGAAAAAAACTGTATGAACATCAAAAGAGTGTCATCCCACTACAAGTTTAAAAAATCGTATTTGAACTTTGAGTGGATGAATGAAAAGTATTTTATGAGTGATTAAAAATTTGAACAAGATATATATAGAGAGTGTGAGCTAATAGAAGGAATTGAATAAAAGCCTATGGTGTATCATTAATAATTTTTCATCATTAAATCTAACAAATAGTATGATTAAAAAACTAAAAATTAAAAAGAATGAAGTTTTAGGTTTTATTTTAGATCTATAACAAAAAGAAGAAACTAGTTAAAATATGGTTAAGCGGTTTGTTGCAAGATTAAATTTAAATAATCATGTGTTAAAAATAATCCATCAGTAAATAATGCTAATTTAATTAATAATGTTACATTTTTAAAAGTTACAGTTATAAATAAAACAATTACTCTGTGTTGTTTTATCGTTTCTATAGGTGGCAAACACATAGTGAGGTGGCTTCGTAATTGTAGAAGTTGTTTAACAAATTCTAAGCCAATTCCTCGATTTGCTCCAGTTACTAAAACGCTTTCTACTTCCATTTTTCTTGCAGAATAACAGTATTTTAAATTTACGCATACAAACTTGCTTTTCGTTCTTCAATAACACTTTTCAAATATCTAATCTTCATTTATTTATCAAATTTTTATTCATGCACTGATAATATCTTGTTGTCGATGTGACAGAATATCGCACGCGCTCTCGAAACTATTGTTGTTGCAATAGTATAATAAATAAAATATCAAAATGGACGATTCACTTAAATAGGCGGTTCATTTATATCAATGATTCACTTAAATAAATAGGTTCATTTATATGAATGATTCCTTTAAAAATGGATATTCATTGATATGGAGGAATATAAAAATGTGGATGGTTCATTTTTTTTTTCCATACGATGTAATGTTCTTGATTGGGGTCATTTTCTTTCGTGTTAATATCTGATTCAATGGATTTTTTTTTCTGCTGTTTAATATTCTGTTCACATTATCAGTGGTCAATTTAGAAAAAGAATTAAGGCAAACATATAAAAAATTAACGTTGAAGTGTCATACAGTTCTTTTTAAATTAAAAATAATAAAACCATATGTGGTTCTGAATTTAAATTGAATGCTCTCGCATTATTTTCAATAATTAAAAGTATTTACGATTGAAATATTCCGATATCAAAACTTCATTTATTTAAAATCATTTTTGTTTTACAGACATTTTAATTATTAAATTTATATGGTATATTCTTAGTTTCCTGGAATTTAATGAAAATATAAAAAATTTAAGCGAGTTAATTACAGCTTAAAAATTAATCAAAACGTATTTTTAATATTTTTTAACTCCTATAAAATGTTTTTATAATATATTACTACTTTCTTTCACATCGACATCAATCAATAAAATTATTTTGATTGTGTTCTTAAATTAAAAATGTGGTTCTAAATTTTAGACTAAATACCTTGAATCATTTTAAATAATTAAAAGTATTTATGACTGATATTATGATATCAAAAACTTCATATTAAAAAAACCCTATTTGTTTTACAGACATTTTTTATTTTTATTAGATTTATATGCCATTTGATTAATTTCGTGGAACTTCTTTAAAAATAAAAAACATAGTCGGTAGGATTAGAACTTTACGCGAAAAGTTCCCAATGGGTTTCTATTCCATTGCCTTAACCACTCACCCACGACTACGAATATCTAAATTCCAGTTGAGAAATATAAATCAATATTTTCAAATTTATTTTATGAAAAACTCCGTTATTTTTTCAAGTAGGTTCCAGCATGGAGAACTGGAACTATAGTTCTTACTGTAATTTAATTGTGAATAAAACAAAGCTAAATGCGAATAATGTCGAGCCTCAATCTTCTAATCCGTAATCAGGCTGCCAATTTCTAAAAATTATATGCGTAGTCGGTAAGATTCCATATTAGGCGGAAGATCCCAATAGATTTCTAGTCCAGAGCCTTAACCACCGGCCATGACTACGAATGACAAAATTTTGTTGAGAAATATTAATCAATACTTCCATATTTACTTTATGTAAACAAACGCGTTATTTTAGATAAGGTCCGAAACGAAGGCCTGGAAGTAGAGTTCTTACAATAATTTTATTGTGAGTAAATCAAAAGCTAAATGCGAATATATCGAGCCAGCCAGAATTCAAACCCGGACTCTCCTAATCCGTAGGCAAGCACGTTATTGTTCCGCCACTGACCCACGGAAGTTTGAATGTCTTAGGTACTTTCATT